TTTGGGGGGGGGGGGGTTTTTTTTTTTTTTTTTTTTTTTTTTTTGGAGAACGGAAGAAAATCGGTGCGCGCGCAGGATGTCATCCATAAAATTAAAAAAGTGTGGCCTTAGGTAATTCAAATAAAAATGTTTTAAAATATTTCAAGTACATGTATCATTATTGTCGTCAAGAGACACGCTTGGGTTGTTTAAATTGTTGCTTAAGTTGATGTCCACGTACATGGGACAAACATATCCTTGGAACAGAAACTCAAAACAGTGGCAAGCAATTATTATCTCTATTACTCAGTGTTGTTTGTGGCTATGCTTAATTTTAGATTAAAGAACGTTTGGAATTAAGTAAAAGTGTTTTTCTTGTCACAAAAATGTTCACACAGAGCCAAATAAGTGCAGAACTAAAGACCAAGTTTTTCGATGAAATACGGGTATTTTTTTCTTGGTAATACACGTCTCTACCTCTATCTCTCGATTTCTCTCTACAGTATGTCAAATAATACACTGCCACCCTCTCGTGAAATATGCATTGTTATAAGACACATATCACTCGTGTTGACAGTGTTTTGTCCCACACATAATATAACAAGGCCTCGTGTTATAAATAAATTGTATTCAATAATTATACTAATATAGTTGTAGAAATTGTCATACTTACAAAACGTGTTTGCAGCAATGCTTCTACGCCTTATAAAAGTTCGACAGCACCATGCACGTATACCGTTGCGAGTTTACCCAACGGAGTCCAGCTGCCAAGTGACCGTACTTGAAGACAGCTCGCACTACACTGAGCGTCTTATTGTTATGCAAATTACAGCAGGTATGGTTCATTTGAGGTGTGACGTTGTGACTGACACTGTTCACGTGATATTACTGAAGATATGGCTGATGTATTCTTGTTGTTGATTTACACTGAAAAAATAAACTAGAAAAAATACACGTGTCAGGGGCGGATCCAGGATTTTTTGAAGGGGGGGGGGGGGGGGGGCCGAAACCCAAACCCGACAACCCCCCCCCCCCCCCTGGGGGGGGGGTCGGGGGCCC